AAGTTGTGCGGTGCTTGCTCAAGGCTGGAACCGACAAGAATGCGGCCATGCCAACTGGGGCAACAGCCTTATTGCTTGCGACTCAGCATGGCCATTTGGAAGTTGCTCAGCTGTTGCTCGAGGCTGGCGCGGCTATTGAATGCCAGATGGAGCGACTGCTTGATTACGGTTGGCTGCTGGTGAGATTGGCCAGCTGGAAGTGGTGCCGTTGTTGCTGTTGATGGAGCCTATGCCGCAACACAGATGAGGCGACACGGTCTTGTTGGATTGCACTGCCAGGACGTGGGTGTTGGTATGTTCTGCTACTCATCCAAGTTGAAAATGGGGGCGAAGCATGGTGTCTTGAAAGTTGGAATACACCTTCTTCTAGCTGGTGGGAGATTCAGGGAGTGACTTAGGGTGGCGGTGTTTTGTTCGGGCACCCAGCTCATCTAGCAACCAAGCAAGTGGAGTTGCAGAGCGTTCCGGTGCATCTGGCCCTAAGGGTCCTAGAGGTTTTACTCTGGAAGATATGATATATATCTCGTATACTCCACCAGCTAATTCTTGCCAAGGACGCCATGATCTCATGCTGGCTGGGTCACTGAAATCCATGCAGGCTGTAGGAGTCGCAGAGTTGCCACATTGCCAGACCTTCCCCCCTTCCGACATCTTCCCTCCACCACTCTAAAGACCACCATGCCTTTGCCACGACCAAGTCGCCTGTCAAAAGGACCATACCACGCGTGGCACGCTGAATCTGCTGGAGGCTCGCAGCTGTGACTTGGTCAACAACATGTCGATCAATTCCATGACCTTTGGAGGGATGGAGGAAATCGTCGTGCACGAAAGACGAGGCAGGCGTGCGTCGAGGCCGGTCTTGGGTATCTTCGTTCGCCTTTGGTTGGAGTATGTTGAGGATTGTTAAGGTATGTTCCCAGTCCATGCTGATCAACAAGGATTTTCCAAACCCAAAAGAATGGCCGGGGTGATCCATACTGATCCTCATGTCAGATGCGAGAGTCTTCAATAGTTCATGTTGGCTGGGCCGGTTCGTGTGTGGAGTCTTTTTGACCAATTTGGAACATTAATTATTCAAAGTTAGATTAGATTGCTTCAGGACATGGGCCTCAGATAGATATTGAGCTTGTGCAAGGAATCAATTGCCAGCCAGCAAAATATCTAGGTATTTGATGTTCACACGTGGTTTCAAATGACAACGAGGGTTCCCTCCACTTTTTCAGTTTCTGAGTCGTCCTCTTCAGCAGTAGATAGTCCTGGGAAGGGGGGCAGTTGCAAGTCCCCAAGTCAAACCAATTCCGGGAAGCTGTTTGCACTGTTTCCGGCACGGCCTTTTCGCCTTGTTTGCACCATTCCAGCGCAAACAGTGAGAAATAAAGCGGGGCTTTTCGTATTCCCGCATGCTAACGACATGAAACGAGGCAGGTCGCCATGTAAAGAATAAGCGAGGAGACGGTAGTCGCCGCTTTCACGAGGTCTGGACTGGTTGGGCTTCGATATCACTCCAGAGGACGGTCGATGGTTCGATGGTCTCAGCATCGGTAGTCGGTGGCGGGGATCGCCAGAGTCCTCCAAGCGCCACTGAAGATAGATCATTACTAGACCCATCTTTTTTGCAGCCTATACACTGTCATAGTTCATTAGTTCATTGCTAGCTTGGCAGGAAGATGCAGGAAGTGTAGAAACTGAGTCTGAGCGGTCCCTTTGGGATTGAACATGTTGTGGGGGACCAGGGTGGGCGTGGTTTGGTCATGGGTGTATCCACCGATTCGGAAGTTCCCGGGTCCTGGCACACAAATCGAGTTGAAGCTGGTAGCCAGTCTAATCCTGTCTGATCCTTTTGGCCACAAACGTGATGCAAAGAACTGTGAGACTTTACTTTACTACATGAAGGAATAGCACCGCCCCGGTGTGGACGACTGCAAAGAACGCTGCCACATCCAAGGTGGAGAAGTCAGTTTGCTTGTGCTGGTTTTCAGTCATTGATTTCATCATCATGGACCTGCAGCTGATGCAATCCATCAAGAATTTTGATATGCTCTGTGACTCCCTCTGAGATGTGTGCACATCCCAATTCTGTTGCAGAGATTGAAGATCTCAAAGCTGCGATTTAACGCATCCCTTTTTCAAACAGTTTTCAAGCAATGGCAAGGGTGCCCCTCAACCATCTTGGAGCACTACCATCTTGGGGGTATACAATTGTCTGGTTATTTTTCTTCTCGTCTAAGTTGACAATTTCCACATGACAAGCCACCGGGGAGGCTATCCTTCAGAGGATCCACTTCTTCCCTTCCCGAGTCGAGGAGCTACTGGAGATTGCCTGCCGGGACTTGAAGGCGACAGACGTGGACCAGCCTCGGATCTGGGTTCATGGATCAGAAAGAAACCGCAACGTACAGAGACGAAAGAGACGTACAAAGAGAACGTGTCAGCGGCTGCTGAATCCCGCAACTTGAGCGGGATCCAAGAGTCGCATGAGAAGACGTACAGGATTTTGTAGGGAAGAAGAAGAAGTCTGGAGAACAGGTTTTCTATGATTTTCTATGCCTTCGTCCATGTTGGCTTTTTGGGGCGTAACATTGTGTGTAACCCCTTGTCTAGATTTATTAGGTGGCCCCAAGTGTACATGAATGCCAGTGCGATCAGATTAGATGGTGATGCACATCACCCACTCAACTAGTACTTGTGCCAGTGGCTTAAAGAAGTTGTGTCACTCATCGTTTTCCATGTCTCCTCGTTCCCTCCAACTCCTTCAATTCAATCCTAGGCCTAGGCCATTTCTCTTGCTATTTCTCGTCTTAGGCGGAACGGTGTGTGTGTGTGTGGGCGACTCTGCCGAACTCGCGAGGTCGCTGGTGGAAAGCTGGACGAGCAGGTCCACTTCTCGTCAGTTCTCGGAGTGGCGTGGGCTTGGGCAGAAGCAATAGCACATGAGGGGTGTAAAGATCCTGCCTACCCACCATTTATTCAATCACTCATGATCCCTCCACCGCAGAACCTCCGGAATTTGTTCACCCCTTTTTGGCGAGTGGAGGTTTCAGGATGACATGCTTGTACGTACCCATTTTAGACAAATCCGAATCTGGCATGTCCCGGCTCAACTTCCAGTTTCAGTGCCATACATCCGATCTAGGCATTGCACCACCCAAAAACTCCTCCAAAACTCGGAAAGCGAACGTGGCAGGAACACTGTGTGAACGACTTTGACCTGGTCCGCCTAGTGCGGAGCGTCCGCGAGCGAGAAACGCGCTACGTGGAGAAGCGCCTGAGGCGCGGGAACGTCGGTCTTTGGGCCACGCAGTGCAGGTGAGTCGATGTGGGAGGTCAAGGGAAAGCCTTGAGGATGTGTGAATTGGTGGAGACAATGGCATTGGGATGCATTGGGTTTTGATGGTTTAGCACTCGTCAACCCCCCATTTGTCATCATTCTGGCCATCTTGAGGCCCTAGAAGACTTATTCCACAGGTGTTCCCACTGGGTGGGACTACCGCCTTTGAGGCTGAGCAGTGCCATGAGCCATGCTTAGCAGCTCCACACAAAAGGGTTCGATCGCCCTCGGAAATGCCGGGAGCCACGATTGAGGGGGATGGTCAGACGGATGAGTCTTTTCCCAGAATTGGTTCAAGAGGTTCAAGGGAATCCTGCCAGAAACCCATAGTTTTGGGGTTGAAAGTTGAAAACCATCGTTCCCTGTAAATGTCCCTTGAACCAATTCATTGATTTTGTTTTGACGTGGAAACCGTGTTTGGGATGAGTCTACAGTCTGAGGGTGGCGTGGTCTCAGGGTCTATGCGCAGGTCAATCCATTCTGGATCTTCAGATGTTCATTACGTCGAGGTCTTTTGCTAACATCCCATGCAAACTCTCAGAGTGCATTTGGGCTCAACGGGCTGCACCTCAATTGCAGCTTGAATTAATGGAGTTTAGGACTCTTTCAGGATCCACGATCATCAAGCTTGATGAGGAGGAGTTGAATGAGATGGTGGTGAGTGAAAATGCGCGAGAGAATTGAAAACACTCCTCGCAACTCGAGTTGGATATTCGAGGTTTCGACAACGGCTCTTCGCGGATGATATGGGTGAGTTGCGGGGTGAGATGCTTCTAAGTCGACTGCCAAGCGTTCAGTTGATCATCCTGGACCTTCATGATGCTGATGATGACATGGTGGAGCAACTGTTTTGTGCATGTGAGCAGGGCAGATGTGGAGCAACTCCTACAATGAAGCCGTTGAACCCCAACCTCAGGAGCCTCAGACATGTGAGCGACGGCTTTTATTTGCGGTAATGAAGATTAGTCTAGGGGCCTTCCTTTTCTATAGCCCAATGTCAGATTTAGCTGGCGAAACGAGGTAGGAACACCCCGAGAACGAGATGGGCATCAAATGCGCCATTTGTTTGAAATGGCTTGGTTAATGACATGTTTAGCTTGTGAAGCGAGGTAGGAACACCTCTCGAGAACGAGATGGGTATCCAGTGCACCATGTACAGTTGAGAGGGTTTTGCTAAATGTCATGTTTAGCTTTTGTTGCAGCCTATTTGGGGAATCAAATCCGCCTTTCATCATGGCGTGGCGAGTGGAAACTCGTTGCCGCTATAGTGGTGGAGCAGTTGGGCAGAGCTACCGAAGCATGACAGCACTAACGCTGAAGCAGGGTTTGAGATATGGCATTTGAAGTTCTTTGAAGGAGCAGCTCTTCTTCATCTATGGGCCTTCTTTTTACCGACACTTCATCCCACTGAGGAATCTTCATCTCTCCGGAAGGCAAGCAGCACCGAAGCCTGCGGCAGGCTACCCTGCATGGATACAAGGAGATGTTGGCCGCTTAGGAGGGTGAACCGGTAGCCGCTTGGGAAAGCCGGCTGGTGCACCTACCTGCTTTAATTGGGCGGATTTGATGACTTTGTGTTTGGTGCCTGTTGCAACAGATATTAGCTTCTACGGAACTGCGCGGAAAGAACTCACCATTTTTTGGGTGCTGTCTGGTGGAACACGCAGCTGCAAGCACTGCAGCTGCGCCAATGCTTCAAAAAAACTTTTCTCATCTTTGTCAGCGACATTCTGGACCACACTGCCTGCAGATCGGTGACTCTCCTGGACAAGGCCATTGCCTCCCGTTCTTCTACCAGAGAGCTGGAAGGCATAGACCTTATTAGTGACTGCGCCGGTCATTTCAGAAGTTATGAAACAATGCACTGGGCGTTGGCGCGGCAGCTAAAAGAACGACAGATTGATGTGGCTTGGCACCTTGGGGTGGAAACACATTTGAAACATGATTGCGACAGGCTGTTCGGATGGTGGCGACAAGGACTGCGGTGTGTTTTGTTAAATCAAATGAGCATCATAGAGAGGTGGCTGAATTGCAGCGCGTCATGCAGCGACACTTTAATGCCGCTCGGGAGCGTGACAAGACATCTCCCTGTGTCAAAGTTTTGGTGGACAATCCAGTGCCAGAGAAAGTTTTCAAACTTGAGTGCCCGCCAGATTTCAGAATCAGCAGAACTTATTGTGTTTCGGCCAGGCCTAACAAATACAGTGCCTGGGGTGTATCAATTTTCAACCACATCTATTCCAGTCGCCCCACATGAACGCGAGTGCATGTGGTTTCAGTTGCTGAGACTCCGGGGCCAAAAGCTTGGCGCAGAGGTTATTATGGCCAAGGTGCCGAGCAATGGCGTACTGATCCTGAACCCCTGCAAGTTGGACAGGACAGCCACCTGTCAAAGCGCATGGATGCTCAAAGTGTTCATTTGCCAAATCACCGGTCTCGAGTTCACGGCAGATACGATTTCCAAAAGGCCATGGCATCAGTGAAGAGAAGACAGCAAAGGCGCAGACGCCGCAAAGCAGAGAATGATGCCAGCTCTACTTCCTCAAGCTCAAGCACGGATTCCACAGATTCTTCTACGAGCTGAGTAGAAAGGGCACGGGAATGGAGAACGAGGTCAGCCCGAACCAAACCCAAAAAAACGATACAGGAATGGAGAACGAGGTCACACGCCAAAAACGATGCGAGGTTGGAGAACGAGGTAAGGTCCATGTGATAGTTTAACGGAAATAAATTCCATCGCTCATGTGACAACAGCAACAGCTTTGCTTCAGCAAGCAGCGATCCTGCTTGAACAAGATGACTATGATTATCCAAACGGAATCGGGGAAACCGCCTTGATGACTGCAGCTGAGCATGGCGACTTGGAAGTGGTGCGCTTGTTGCTCGAGGCTGGAGCTGACAAGAATGCCACAACCACTGATTGGTCAACAGCCTTGATGCGTGCAGCTGAGCTCGGCCACTTGGAAGTGGTGCGCTTGTTGCTCAAGGCTGGAGCTGACGGGGCAACAGCCTTGATCGATGCAGCTGAGTATGACCAGTTGGAAGTGGTGCGCTTGTTGCTAGAGGCTGGAGCTGACAAGAATGCCGCGACCATTGCTGGGGAAACAGCCTTGATGGGTGCAGCTAAGTATGGATGGACACTTGGAAGTGGTGCGCTTGTTGTTGGAGGCTGGGGCGGACCTGAATGCTGCAACCACTGCTGGGGGAACAGCCTTGATGCGCGCAGCTAAGCATCGCCACTTGATAGTGGTGCGCTTGTTGCTCAAGGCGGGAGCTGACAAGAACGCCGCAACCGTGCTGATGCGGGAGCAGCTGTGTGGGTGGCAGCCGCGGAAGATTTTTTGACTCTTGCAGATCTGAAATGACTCCTGGGAAGCTGCACGGTTCTTCGGCAGTCCTAGTGCGCAACCACCAGGCCCAAAGTCGTTTGAGGAAGAAAGTGGCCGCCTTCAGTCACCGAGGGTGTTGGAGAAAGCGGTCACCTTTAGACATACGCAGCGAAAGTAATTTGTGCACCTTTGATTTTCTTTGTTCTGGGATGATTGACGTAGTCTGGATTTCTGGGGCTTTGCTGCTAGTTTTTTGCAGCGTGGCTGCGCCACCATGAACTTGTTTCTTCCCTCCTGCCCAATTCGCGTCAATGTATTCAAGCGAAAACAGTTCCTTTTAAATGAGGGCACCCATGTTGCAACCCACGATGGACAATTCCATGTTTACATATGTTTACATAATATGTAACATGTAACCTAGCATCCCAGAACAACCTTTGAAATATCCTGGCCAAGTGGCCAAATTAACGTAGAGGTGACATTGATTTCTGTAGACATCCCTCAGCTACTTGTAGAAAACAAACACCAATGTGGACACCAAAAAGGATCCCCAAATCTACCAAAATGTGTGACAACTGTGGAATGTTTTACGTCTCTCTCTCCAATGCTTGTTTTGGCCAGGGAGAAGACAGGTGCTGCAGAGGAGACTGCTGCAATTGAGGGCGGACTTGGAAGATCTCATACGTACACTCTCATTGAAATCAGATGCAAATGTAAAACAAACTCACCGGATCTTGAGATGTTGCTTGGATCTCACCATCTTCTGGGTGGTGGTCTCAGATATGTTTATGTTCAACCCTTTACTTTGATTGAGCCTTGAAACCACCAACCAGTCTTGTTTACCTACTTGCTAAAGCCAGGATCAGATACGTGTTGCCCAGTGTGAGGTTGGTGGAGGCGCATAGCGACCAACGGAAAGCATCTGGTTTTTCTCTCCACTTTTCGGGCCCCTAGGCCCCCAAGGGGGGCACCTATCTCTTTGCCCATCAAGATTCTCTGCAAACAGATGCCACCATTCTCGATGAACCACTATGCTCCGCGTCTTTCGAGAGCTATGTTTCGTGTTCCCGGCCACCTTCATCACTTGCCAGGAGACCACCGAGGATGCCGCTGGAACGGCTGTGCCCCTGCAGGCGGTGTGGCGAATAGATGACCGTTCCCACATTGACAGGAAGAATTGATGACGTTTTCATTGCTAGACTCTGACTCTAGACATTTCTAGACCACCAAGCTTGCATTGGTATCGACATGGTGGATAAGGTCTTCAGAGATGGGCAGATGCGCTTGCTCGATTGAGTTTGCCATCGTTCGGCATACTAACATGATGACAGACCCGTGCCATGGATTGATTAAGCAGAATGCGACTCAAAGTTGGCTCAGAACCAGGCTGGTAATACCACAACTAGCTGCTCCCCCAAGCATTGGAAAAGTACCCTTGGCCCTTACCAATGCATCTCCCTCAAAATCGGCTATCCCCCTAGTCGGTTTCGCTCACGATTCTGTGAGTCAGGAGGGGCAAAGGAGTCCTTCCCGTTGATACTTCCTGTTCCGTCCTCTACCACGTTAGTTCTGCGGACCTTTTGCGACACTGCCTTTAGATAGTCCATGGCAAGGGCGTTAACCAACTTTTTCTGCTCGACCGGTTGTTTCAACCGGTGCACCGGTTGTTTCAACCGGTGCTCTCGACCGCCGGTCAGGCGTCGACAACCAGCGTGCCCACAGACCAGCTGCCAGAGCTCTTGAGTGACCTGAACGTGACCTTGGCCTCGCCGGAGGTGGTACTTGAGGCAAGCATGGTAATTCTCGGGGTGTTTCAATGAGTAGTTACAGTTACTTTTGCTTGTTTCATGTCTGATTCTCTGCAGTGGCGTTCTGATATGAACACTGTTGGGACGTTCACTCTTTTGTGCGACAAACAGATTCTAGAGATTACTCATGCTCAAGAGTGAACATGGGAGAAACAGGCCCACATTGCAGGTACATTATTTGCAGGGTCCCCATGCCCGGAGATAACAGCCACTTGAGAGGGTACAGATCATACAGATCCGTGTAAATGTTTTTTTTTTGTTCCTGCCAAGTTGTATACCAAAACATGCATCTGTCACATTTCATCTTCAATGTTTTTTTCTTTTCGGGGATGACACGGCTCTCACAGGGTCTGGATAGTCTTTGGCCTTGCAAGAGTGCGTGAGTCTCTTTCCCTGTAGGCCATGGAGGCCACCGTCCCGGGAACGGTGAACGGAGGGGAGAGGTGTGGGGAACAGTCGATGAAGACTGCGGCTGTGTTGCAAGATGTTGCAAGACATGAGGGACCAGTCAAGACCCTCCCTGCAACAATCATGGGAGTGGACAACTCCCTCTTGGTAGAGGAAATAGTCTTCCCAGGGGCCATTGTCCACTTCCATGATTGTTTCAGCGGAAGTTGAGAGATTCAGCAACAGAACTCTTCGGAGAAGAGCAGAGATGGGTAGGTCGCGTTTCTGCGTGGTTTTGCTGTGTTATCTGAACAGATTTGCTCAAGAGCTTTGCCCACCTCCATAGAAGGCGGAGGTCACTCACTGCAAAGAACGGAACCTACAAGCAGCAATAGTCCACACCTTCCATCTCGCGCAAGAATCAAATCCATTTCTGTCTCAGACCTTCGTTGCAAGGAGCAACAATTCCACACACGTCTTGCTGTTTGCACGAAATAGCGGGATTTGAGTCGAGAGTTCTGAGCCATGAGGGTGAGAAAAAGAGGGAATTAGGTTCTTGCGTTCCAATTTCACGGTGACATGTGACGCAAGATGATGCAAGATGTTCTTCGGTGTGTATCGGAATTGGGAGACCTCTGGCGGTGGTTTGTGCATTTGTCAATGGATTGTCCATCAAGACATCCAATGACTCAGCACGGAGGCATCTGGACCCTGGCTTGAAGACCTGGCGCGCCAGCCAGGCCCTGGGACTCCGGAAGGAAGAGCTCACGATGGAGGACATCATGTGCTCCTGGCATCACTTGGCGATGGAGTCAATGTGGATCGATTCGGGTCACGCGGCATCATGGGCTTTGTTGTATTTTTTAGGTCGGTTGCCTGGCCAGTGGTGGTGGATGGCTTGTGATGGTACGGTGGGATTGCGTATTTGTGTTCCGTTGATTTGGTTGCTGCTGCGGCTGCAAAAAATCAGTTAAACCATGGAAAAGTGGACTCTTGCCCAGGTTTCTGACCCACACCGTAGCAACTCTAAAATGCATAATGTGAATGTGTGAAATCACATGAAATCACTTGTCCTGGGTTTGTTTGGTTTAAAGGCTCTTGGAAAAAGGCCACTGCGATTGCATTGATGTGGGGTGCCTAGGCTACTGACGGTTTTGCCACAAGCAATTGCGTGGCAAATTTGCTGGCAAGGAAGCAAATAGGAGTCGCTGGAACCACCTTCTTGGTAGGTCACTTCCCATTGCCCAGAGTATATAGAAAGGCTCCAGGCATAAGGGGCCTAAAACAGATGAGCGACAGGACTTTAGAACGTCCGAATCGAGGGACATCGCGACGTCGACTCGTCCGCGGATGTCGGACTCGTCGCGTGACTCGTCAGGCCGGTGCTATGGCACGTGCGTCGCTATCAGGGTTTGAGTCAGGCGCGACCACATGTGGCAAAGAGGACCGCGGCCGCATGACATCGTACCATGGCTATTTACAAAAGGTACTGGTTCTTTTGTTTTTCCGATTGATGTCAATAGATTCTGAGAAGACTTGTCATTTTGGATCTACAAAGACCAGACACCGAAGCATCACCACGGCAGACCGAGCTGGAGCTGGCGAAAGCGCAGTTCGAGCTGTGTGATGAGGATGGTTCTGGAGGCCAAGTGGAGCTGAGAAGGGCGGAGAAGGTATGTGTAGATTGGAAGTGTCCTACCTGTAACAGTCAGACATAGTCAGACACAAGGCCTTTACTTGTTACTGGTAATAGGATAGACGTGGATAGACCCAATCTATAACAATATGACAATATGTATTTGTTGCAATGTCTTGAAGGTGTGTGCCTCAAACTGACTCTCATGGAGGTTACATGGGTGCTGGTGCATCCAAGCTGCTTCAGCATGGATCGTCAATCAGTTCATTCAATAGAACAGAAGCAAGTGTTCAGGGTCACGACTACCGCACGCTACGTGCGACCCTTGGATGGCACGACCTGCCATTTTTTGCGAGGACGAGTTCTGAGATTTGCTTGGCTTGACGCCTCAAGTCAGTGAACCTTTTGACGTGGTCGCGGGGTTTGCGGGCTGGTGGATTAGTCTTTTTTTTGGTGCTTTCATACTGCTGTAGTCTCTTCCGCGTAGAGGTTTGGAGTAGTGCTTGGAGTATATAAACAGTGGCTCTATTTCTGAAAGAATTGATTTAGGCCCCCAAGTTTGCATCTCGAAACCACAACTCCTTATCAAGTGCCCCTGAGCATTTCCCTCCTGGCCACTCGTCGGTGGGGGTTCACCCTCGTCGGTGGACCGTCAGGCATGGCCTGCTGTGAGTTGGAGTTTGCCATTCGCTCCTTGGGCTTTCCGGTGAACTACGAGGAGGTCCAGG